TATAGCTCAAGTCTTTTTATGATTATTCAACCAAAGATCAACAAAGATGAAAAACATCTTCCTAAGAATTATAGACCATAAATCATCATAAAAAGAAGATTAATAAAAGGAAATGGATAACAAAGGAAGCATTTCCTCTTCAGGGAGACCATTCAACCAACCTGTTTATGACTAATGGTAGCTTAACTCGGCACACAGACATCTTTGACTTAATTGCAGTGATGGATGTGAATTGATTAGGGTGGCAGTCACAGGGCTCATTGTTGTTTGACGGTGCTAAAGCTTTACTTTTTACAGTTTGGCTAGAACAATGCCTGCAGCATTTGTTGGGGATGACAGGTTCACTGCGATAAGAGATTTACTTTGCAAGAGCAGGTATTTATTTTAAGTAAGAGCAAACACCATTCTGAGAAAAAAATAATAATAATAAAATGCATGCAGCAAGATGAATAATTAGCTGGTCATTAGGCCTCAAAGAGAAGATTCAACTATGTTTGATTTGCTTTGTTTCTGCCTTTTTTCTCCACGAAACAAATCGTCTGCTCTTGGTCATTAAACCAATTTGTCATCAGAGTTGTGGGCTGTTTAGACTATTTACTGATTGATGAAAGATAACTTTGTTTTTTTGGCTGACATTAGTCATGCATCAATAAAGCAACACTTTCGTTTGTCAGTCTAATTCATAACCCATTGTGTAATGTTAATGTTGTGTCTGTAATTTCTGCATCGGTATTAGGAAATTAGTTAGTTATTTTCTCCTTTGTCTGTATGAGAGAAGTTTTTTATGTAATGGCATTAAGGGTCATGTACATCCTGAGTCTGTCCTTCACTGCTTCTGCAGTAACCATTCATCCATTTTCTAAACCAGTTATACTTGGTTGCAGGGGGCTGGAGCCAATCCTAATTGCCAGCATGCACAGGCACAAGAGTCAAGGTACACGCAGGATAAGTTGCCAGTCTATCACAGTAACCACTGCACTGCAACCTCTATGCTGTACAACTAAACACACACTTTAAAGGAATTCCAGACCCATCCCAAGCTCTTTTAACAGAGTTAACATCAGATTTTGTTTTGGTGCCATCTTTTTGAAGCGCATAGTTCTCTCTACAGCCACCACTTTGCTGCACTTTGGTTAAACAATCATACAAGACTCAAAAAATTCAAAGCAGACAATATAAATGGTTCATGAAATCAAAGTTTGTTTGCTGGCCATGTTTATGTCCATATGATTAACAGTCCCCTTCTATGTTGCTGAATGGCATTCTAGGAATCCAAGAAAAGTAAATGTGTCAGACTGAGAGAAAAAAAATGCCAAGACGACAAACTCTTGACAACGCTGAATTTGGCACTCTCTCTCTACCCTCTTCGCAGAGCACCTAAAGGTGGCGCTAGAGGAGTATATGATGCGGATGCCAAAGGTTCGTATCCTGAGGACCAAGAAGAGGGAGGGCCTGATCAGAACTCGTCTGCTGGGAGCCGCCGCTGCTAAAGGAGAAGTTATCACCTTCCTGGACTCCCATTGTGAGGCCAACGCCAACTGGCTGCCTCCACTGCTGGGTGAGAAACACAGATGCACACAGACACACACACACACACACACACACACACACACACGTAATATGTTTCTTTGACCCTTTCCCGCTAACCATAACCCTAAAATGAATTGCTAAAACAGCCTCACTTTTGTGTGTGTTCTCCTTTTCAAAAATGCACTCTTTTATGCTCCTTATTTCTTCAAAAATGTTCTCACTTTCCAGAATTGTGCACTTTATATAATGTTCTTTATTTTCTAAAAATGTCTTCAGACAAAAAATGTCTTCACTTTCCAAAAAACGTCTTCAATTTCCAAACAATGTCCTCACTTTCCAAACATATAAGAGAACTTGACTGCAGACAAGACTTAGAAGGCCTTAGTTCCTGTCGTTTTCAGCCCAAAAAAGGTTACAAAAAAACTAAATTCTTCATGTTTACTGCCATTCAAAAGTTTAGAACCAAAAACTTGATTCAGTACAGTCAGATGGTTGAGAGGACTACTATATATTTTTGAATACGCTTTCATGCTTTTAGGTTGAAGTCCTCTTTACAAATAGATGATATTTTCAATTCAATTCAATTCAATTTTTTTTGTCGCGCCAATTTATAAAAAAAAAAATTCAAAATAGAACCGTTTAGACTGTACCCCATAAAAAATTTTAAATGGTTTATAAAAAAAAGTGATGTTTTGTACATGAAGAACAAAACACTGAACAATGGTTCAGCCAGACTGACTATCTAAAAGGCGGAAAAAAGACAAACACACCTCTGAGCAAAAGTTAAATAGGAATAAAAAAAATCACCAGTCACTGGTAAAAAGAAGCCTAGTACCAAAATTCTGCAGATTTCACCATAATAAAGCCTGAACCATGAAATAATTGCCAGAAAATTCAATTTTTTTAAAACTTCAGTGTTTATTGAACCTGCTTACAAATAATAATAATAAAAAAAAATGAAATATCAATTACATGTGGGTCACTGATTGACGGCAGCCATTTTGGATGTCTCAGGCGAAGGCCCTCTGGTGCATAAATTACTGGATCCCTAGTGAATTATCCAGGTACTGCTATATCTGATTGTATACATTAGGTTTTTCAGGAAAAAAAAATATCAAACTGATGATGTAGAGGTCTCAACAACTCATGTATCAAATATGATACACTCAGCTTTATAGGGTTAAAAAGAAACAGCTTTATGTTTAAGTGTCAAGTGCACAATAATGCAAAAGCTAGAATTAACAGGTGTGGCTCTAGCAAAGCTATTGTTAAAACTTCAAAATAACACTAGAAGGTTAGTCTGGGATTAGCACTATTGGAATTGATCACAGTCGGAATATCAGCTGAACAGTTAAAATCTATCTAACCATGACTGCAGAGAGCCAAAAGAAAATGTTCAGCTTCAGATTGGCTGAAACCCTCACCCTCACAAGGCCAGATACTTTGTATATTTACTTTAATATGAATTAGTAGACTGGTTGACATCATCTAAAATCAATATCATGATTGTCACATTCACTTCAGTAATTATTGAAACAATATCGTATTAAATACATCTGTGCACAAGATTATCTGTCCTCAAAGTGGAGCATCTTTACTCAGAATATGACTCATATATAATTTTACATATTCCGTAGTAGATATTTGTTTATTAAAACAGTTTAAATGGGCCCCATTAAATAAGTTAAATAATATTTCAATATAAGTTTTATGGCTTCTGTTATCTTATTCCATCTGCAGAGGTTTCCATCTGCAGACAGTATTTGCTTGTATAACAACATGCTTCATCCTCCAGATTGCAGTTGTGGAAAAAAGGTGACTTTGGTAAACAAAACACAGATTGCTTGGCTGTTGAAGAGCTATAACATTTATTTTCTGACCAACTCTAGCTCATATTGAACATGGCCTGTATGCTCGCTGCACCACTCCAATATTTTCTGAAATGTCTTTGTCTTGTTACAGTTGAGGCAGCTTCCAGGGTTTCCTTCTGCTTTGCCCTCCTCTTGCACATACACTGTTTGACAAACACTACAAAACAGAACCACTTATATGGATGACCATTGTGGCTGTCTTCCGCCATCTTGTCTCTTGCAAGGTCCTTCTCAACATCTCCTCACTTTTGCAAAAAAATTCTAATTTTCCCACATGTCCTATTTTTAAAAATAATGTCCTCAATTTCCAAAATGTCCTTACTCTCAAGGTCCTCTCAAAGATTGAAGTAACAGCATGCGCACACACACACACACCACCCCTACTGTGAGACTGAACGCCTCATCTTCTGGCTGACGGACTTGCTCACAAACAGTCTCACTTTCTCAATTACCCTTTTTCCATTAAGGGCCCATGTTCAGCTCTGTCTCCCAGCATGGCGCCGTCCCACATGGAGCCATTTCACAACAAACCTTCTGACCCACGTTACCGCTATGTCAAGCCGTTCACAAAGTATTTGGGAATAGAATACGTGTCTGCCAGTGCATAACATAAGCAGGCGGTTGTTGTATTCATTACAACACAGTATGACACTTTGAATATTAATAATGGAGGGGGGGGGTTGAGACTGTGACATAATGATGAGTGAAATTGCATTTGACGAACAGGTTTGCATCATCTGTGGCATTTGAATGACCAAAATAAATTAATATATAGTCTACAATTTAAAAGAAAAAAATTAAGGACCTACTTAATCTAAATGCCATCTAGTCATAGAAACTGTCTGCACCCTCACTCATAAATTACCTTAATTACCATAAAATGTTAAAATGTGTATAACTTTATATAAACAGGCTAGCTTTGCTGTAAGGAATGATTCAAACAGATATAAAGCAGTACTTGTTATTATTTAATTTTAAGACTATATTCAGATGGAGGATGCAGTGGGATATGGAATTGGAAAAAGACCTGTTCTAAAAGCCAAAATGAAGGACTACTATGTGGCCAATACATCTTGACACAGGCAATTTATGAGGAATCATATTATAAAACTCCATCCTCAGGATTTTTTTTTCCTGTGTGATTACACTGTGGTGGCTGTATGTGTGGTGTTTAGGCAGAAGGCGGTGCTACAGATTCAAGCCCTACTAAAAAAATTACATTGGAAACATTTTTGACTATGAGCTGTGGAGAGAAGTCGAAGTTGCTTGTCAAACCTTTTTACTGAGTGACCTGTGTCAACACACTGTCAACCTTAAGTAACAGGAGAAGAGTGCACAAACAAATACACACACAATCTTTCTTCCAGGACACCTACTGACGTCCTCCTTTACCACTGTAAATGACAGATACACAACACACAAACAGACAAACAAACACAGCTCAATGTCCTGTAACATTAAAACATTATTCATGTTTTCCTGTGGTTCTTCATGGAAAAATAGTAGACTTACTTTGAACTGAACCGAACACCAACCATCTGCCTCTTTCTGTGTCTCGCAGACCGAATCGCCCAGAACAGGAAAACCATTGTGTGTCCGATGATTGACGTGATTGACCACGACAACTTCGGCTATGACACTCAGGCAGGGGACGCCATGCGAGGGGCATTTGACTGGGAAATGTACTACAAACGGATACCCATCCCTCCGGAGATGCAGGGGGATGACCCCAGTGAACCCTTTGAGTGAGTGACAACACATTTCACTTAGATTAAATCATACTTTCTAACAGTGTCCTGTTCTGCATCAAATTTAAACAAAAATGGAATCTACACTTTGCAGAGTTGACAGTCATTTTTCCACCAAGAGCAGTTTACCATCCATGCTTTACATTGTCAATTTAAAATTTTGAAGGTTTTTCTTAAACTGAGCGATAAGTGACTCATCATCATTATAGCAGCATGTTTGTTTTGAATGAAGCAGAATGACAGTGTGAAGCCCAGTTGAGTTTAATGATGGTATCTTTGTTTTCATACATCCAACAGGCTTTAATTTAGCATCATCTGTCCTTCAGCCCCATTATTAAAAGCTTCTACCTGATACAGCCGCACATTGTACTTGATGTTTTGTTGTTTTTCTTTTTAAAATGCTCAATTAACCAAAATAATGATAACTGTCCTGGCCTGACAGGACAACTTTTGGTGGAGGTGATGCTAGTTGGTGCAACACCCATTTGCTACAGTACATACCATTGCATCATTTGACACATGTCAATTACTATCTGGAGTAGACACTGTGTGCCATACCAACAGAAAAAGTAGTCAAGGTGCAGTATGTACAATAAGGGCAAAAATTGTAATAAAACTGCTGCTTTTCTTGAGGTTTGTTGACACTGCAATGTTAATGGATGTCAGTATATGGGCTTCTTCAGTTGTTCGAACATGCATAATATCTGCAGATGTGGTAATGCCCTTTTACACTGTAGAACATGACTTTTGAAGAGTAATTAAACACAAATAAGACTCAGAGTCTGATGCCATGCTAGCTGTTCTGTGAGGCTGTGCATATAGCCACAGCAGTGCTTTGAGCTAAGTTCTAATATCAGCATGCTAACATGCTCATAATAACAATATTATAATAATCATGTTTAGTAGGTATAATTTATGTTATAAATACTAACTTAAATAGCAGTAAACAGGATGATGCAAATGTCCTTCACATTGCAAGTATAAACCAAAGTATTGGACATATTACAAATTTGACCTGGTAATAGCACTAAATGAAAAGTCAGCCGATCACCATAGTTGTTACAATTCATCCCGCGATCCCGAGTGTGACATGAATGTTATGGCAATCCGTCCAATTGTTGAGACATTTTTCTCAAAACCACAACCAACCTCAAGGCAATGCTAGAGGAAAGGTCAGGGGATCATCAAAGAAATTTTAATCAGGAGAGACTTCTTTGAAAACGAGGCTTGAAGAGTAATTAAATTAACGTATGGTTTGACATAGTTCATATAAGCATGAAGATAGTCTAATTGAACTTCTGGTAAGATTTATTAGGATTCAATGTCTGGACACCATAAATATCTGTAAAAAAAATTGTGTAAATCCTCAGCGCTTGAGGACAATTCAGGGGGTCACCAAAGTCATTAGTTTTCATCGTCTGGGCACCATGGGATATCTGTAACAAATTCCGTAGCACTCCATTTTCATTACTTTTTAACTTTTGCACTGAGAGCCCCGCGGGGGGGAAATCCATGTGCTTGTACAGCAGGCAGTATAGTGGAAGTCAACCCCCTCCTGAGCAGCCACTTCACGAATGCACTGCAGTGCTCTCCTAACTGTAGAGACTGTGTCAACACATGAATTAAACATTGTGCTTAGTGGTTCCTTTACTTACAGCCACACTTTAACACCTAGAAACAGGTGCCAAATGCCCATGTATTATTTGTTTTGTTCAATATGTATAATGTAGACTTGGGTCATTTTATCAGCAATAGAAGGACATTTTTTACGTTGCAAAGAGGAATTTAAATGCCTGAATGTCCTTCACCAAGTCTCTCGTTGCCTCCTTTCCAGACTGGCAATGGGGGAAGGAATGAAGGAATATGTGGATGTTTGAGTATTGCATGCTTACTCTGGAAAACAAAATAGTCTTAGTTAAAGTGTGAAATTTAATTTTCTCCATGCACAATGGGCTATAATATAATTTCCGACGGTAATTAGGGCTGAGCTATGTTTTTTTTTTTTTTATTACTACAATATGAGATTTCTTAATTAACACAACACACAAAGGCTGAAATTTATAAACCTGGTAGCTCCATCTACTCCTTTGCTTCACTTTGTCTCAGCAGTAATTAAGTCCATTCCCATGTATTGTTTCAAACTCAAATTTTTACTAATATAGATTTAGATCAATTTTTAGAGTATTAGGTTATTATTCCAAGCAAAGCCAAACACTCATTTGTACACTGTCATCTGACTGCAGATGTTTCACAGTGGGAATCTAGCCGCCTGTCCACACTGGACATGCCCATCAAATCAAACAGGTTAATTTAGGAATAGAACCAGCTGAATACAAGACTATGTATTCAGCTTTTTTGTCTTAATTGTCTTCCTGACTGCACAGCAACACTGTGGCTAAAATATCCAGTGTAAACAGTGACATAATACTGCTGTAGATGTTATGCAAGAGTAACAAAAGCAAAGCAAGCAATACATATCTTGGGTGAATTGTTTTGATTTAGTCTGGAATACTAATTTGTTGCTTGATAAAAGTACTTGTCTACCATTCGGCTAAAAGTATGTGGAGAATGTGGTCAATAGCTATATCTTAGACAATAGTGTTCTTCCAACCTTGTGGCAGCAGTTTGGTGAACGCCATTTCCTGTTTCTACATGACAAATACCCCAGGTGCACAAATCCAGATCCATGAAACAATATTTTTCACATTTTTCTGGAAACCATTAATGGATTTCAATGGACTGGCACACCCAACACCTTTGGGATTAATTGCGAGTCAGTACTTATCTCCCAACATCAGTTTCCAAGCTCACTAATGCTCTTGTGGCTGAATGGGAGCAAATCCATGCAGCCGTGCTCAAAAATCTGGTGGAAAGCCTTTCCAGAAGAGCGGAGGCTAATATAGCCGCAGATTAATTCCCACGGTTTTGAAGTAAACATCCACATATGAGTTCAATGTTCAGACATCCACATACTTTTCCATGTATTTTCTCTTCTTTTATTAGCAGACATTGAATATAGAACATTGTCACTGTGCAAGTAAATTGGAAACTATTTGAATTTCATTACACAGCAAACAAAGCCATTAATTTATCACATATCATACAGCTGCAGTGGTAATTTAGAGACATATCAGATAGCTCAACCCACAGAGAGCACAGAAAACATAATTTTTTTCATCACTCCACAAAAAAAACTTTTTTACTTTTTAATTATAAAACAGATCATGTACTGTAACAAGTTCCATCGGTGTTCAAGTCAAAAACAGATTATCAAAAAAAAATAAAAAATAAGTGCACAGTACAAAGTACAGAGGTTTTTGTAATCACTGCTAGTTTCATTTAATCCTTTTCACCCTTGGAGAAGGAAAACTGCAGAAACCTGGCTGTTATCACCACGGGACCTCGTATCTGTGCTCACTGCTCATGAGGCGTGGGAAGCCCCAGAGTGTTTCTCACTGCTGACTGTACAGTAGCTGCTCTGTTTGCCTTTAATTGATCCTCCTCAGAGACGACTTTGGCGAGAGCAGACTACCTGCTGGCTGCCTGCCTCCAACTTCTACCTGATGAAAAGCTTGTAACTATGACAACCCGCAAGTGCGTATTGTGGTATTTCTGCAGTAAAGTGGACCACATTTCTTTTGGGGGATGAAAAGATGACAAAAATCCAATTGAGTTTTGACTGATTGCTAAGATCGGTGTTACATTAATCGGGTTAAAGTGAGGCATGTGGTGGAGAGAGATGGGTAAATCAAATAGAAATGTGTCTGCACCTGCTGCCCCAATTCTTCTGCCTCAGGTGTGCTGCAGCTACAATCAAGTACAGCAGCGATACAACAACTAACAAGCCCTGCACTCAGCAGCACAGAGCTTGTCACAGCAGACAGAAGCCACAGTGTTCTGTAGTGGGTTAATTGGTTTTGCATTGTTCAGAGCATCTTCATTATCTGGTGAGAAATAGTTCCACTACAAATACATGAACTCTGTGACTTAGTGTTTGCGTGTCTGTGTATATTTTTCTCTGTTTTGTTTTTTTTATTCTTTTTATTCTTTTTGTTTTTTTGAGTTTTTAGTCTGGTAAGCTTAATGATGGCTTTGTTGCTCCCTTATGTTTCACAGCAGCTGTGGTCAGTGACCGAGAGTCACAGTGAAGAACATAAATAATGCATAAAAACCTCTCAAACCCATCCTGTAAAATCCACTTGTCTGCCTTTAATCCATTATGTTCAGTTTGTTTCAAACAATTGTCACTTTAGCAATATATTACTAAATATGCTACCTCCATTGGAGCTTTCAGGCAGCAGTGTGACACTGAAGACATGTGAATACACAGCTTTCTATGAAGAAAGTACATACTAATTACATACATTCTGAACCAACCATTGTTTTATTTTTTGCTGTGTGCTTTCAGGTAGAATTTGGATTATGGAATATAGACCTGGTTAAGGTAATACCTGTATGTTGGATAGGAAGAGGACAAGATTTATTTTTCTAGTCATTTCAGTCATTGGGTAACATTCATATAAACCAAAAGTAAAAAACAAATACTCATAATAAAACGCAAAACAAAATAATAACTTTTCCCTAGCCTTGATCACACACTGACACAATTGAGCACAAATACACCATTTTCTTTTTGACTAACCGGATCAGTATTATGCACCTCATTTGTACAACATCATGTCATTTTTAACCTTGTGAAATAGCTTCTCCAAAACAAAACTCCAAACAAAAAACAAAAAAATCAATATGCCTTTCCTCTGCGTATGCCTCCTTCTGATTCTCTCTTTATTAAAAAAAAGTTGCTGGTGTTGTTAGAGGTGATGATATTTGATCGTGTCCTTGGTTTCTCTCGCTCCATCTTCATTCCTTTACTCTGATAACGTGATAAGCGGAAGTATGCTTGTTAGTTGTTGCAGTTGTTTTTGAATAGAGAATAAGTAAGTAAATCTTTTAAAACACATCTAAATAAATAGATGTTTTCTTTGTGAAAATTATGCTGCAGCTCTGAACGGTTCTGGGTATGGATGTTGTACAAAAAAGTTGTAGTAAGTGTGTGCGTTGTATTTTGTGTGTCCTGCAGGTCACCGGTGATGGCAGGTGGACTGTTTGCTGTGGACAGGAAGTGGTTCTGGGAGCTGGGAGGATATGACACTGGTCTGGAGATTTGGGGAGGAGAACAATATGAGATCTCATTCAAGGTAAAAATAATCAAATGACAGGATCGAATGATATATGAGCCAACAATTAAATTTCAGTTAAAGACAGGAAAATATGGTGAAATTTTTTTTTTTTTTTAGGCTTATAAAGCCCAAAATAATTTATTTTACACATGAGATACCTGGAATGTACTGTATTTCATCCTGTAACCAGCCATTCTGCTACCTTTAGACCTTTGTCATTGCATCAAGGGCACATAATTATAATCCTTAATTTTCTTTTGAAAATAAACGTTGTTCCTAAGCAGCAGCATTTTCTTTTGGCTTCAGTCATCTAAAATGAAAGTTTTATGTATTGGTTCACTAAGGACGTCTTTTGTTCATAAACAAGGACGTTCTCTTTGTTTTGTCTTTGAAAGTCCTGCTCTATTTCTAATGTTCAACTTCAGATTTATTAGAATTTCCCTCAGGCTGCTCTTCATTTAATGAGCCCAGATAAAAAACAAAAAAAAACAAATTCACATTTACATCCAGGTTTGGTGTCAGGGCCGTTGATGAACAGTTGAATGGAAGCAGGATGTTCATGGGAGACTTTTCTCCTCACTTCTAATTCAGGAAAACATTTACGTGATCATGTTCTCTCTACCAGCCAAAGAACCAACCGGAAGAAGAATAAAATGGACAAACTGATTCAAATACACTGATTCAAATACATGTCTTTTTGTTGCTCCTGATGAGTATAGTAGAAACAGAGACAGTTGTAGCTCCGTTAATGAGATTGGCATTGTTCCTATCCCATCCTACACCAACTTGAAACCAGCTTGGAGTGTGATGTGTAGCTGACCTCTGACCTACATGTTTTGTGTGGCTATATAAGATACTACTTTTTTTCCCTTATGCCCATAATAAAACGCCTGCTAAAGTTTTGCTTTTTTAGTTTTATATTTTTGTCGTAAGAGAGCGATGATTCCTGTTTTCTTACAGACAGTAAGTGGTGTCTTTTAACCATGACCACAATCTTTCCCTGACCTTACCCAATTAGTTTTAGTGCCTAAACCTAACCAAACTCCAGTCATAGCATCAATTACAGTTGTTGGAAGAGACTGATTAGTAATGTTATGGTGTCCTGGTGATAGAAGCACAAAATGCTCATATGGGTCATGTTGGAAGCCAATGACAAACAACACATTAGACATGATTCTATCAGTGTATCTCTATGCACATTTTAAAGTATCACATTAGAAAGTCATTTCCAACACATTTTTGCGGGGTATATAAAGCATACTAGCAATGTATGACACATCTAAACTATAAATCAGGTCCTACAGCTGAGACACCTATGGCTGGACCACTATACAGTGAGAAGCAGAAGTTTCCACCTTAACCCCAAAGTGCAAAGGATAACCCTCAACTTGAGCAAAAGCTAAAGATTTCTTATGTTTAAAGCTGTAAGTGTGAAACCAATGATAAGCTTCAACTAACACCGACCGTGACCCGGGACCGAGCCTGGTGCAAAAACCTCTCATGTTTTAAAACTGTTTTGAAGCTTTTCATCTTTATAAGTAATTACTGAGATAATATCCCATACCAAGGTTATTATTTCGGCCAAGATTATCATACTATTAAATTTTGCTATCTGCACATGCCTAGCTGTGCCTCTTATGCCCTCAGATATTCAATTTGGTTTCCTTTTTATTAAGATCCCCATTAGCTGATACAGCAGACAGCCAGTCTCCTGAGGTGCGGAGATTAACAGGCTCTCATACAAATCCTTACAACCAAACTGCTGCTCCCACAGACAGTGGAGGCCTGCTCACATGTGAAACACAATCACTTCATTTACTGGTACAGTTAATCTAAATCTCCACCCTGGTCACACTGGTATGGGAACATAAGGCATTTCCAGCTCACACAGTGAAATAATGTCAGCACATGCAGACACACAGAGGCAACATGACCTCACATGCCGAGCAAGAGGATAATGCAAGGGATAAAACTGACGGCAGATTTTTTTAAATATATCGCTCCGGCAGATTGGGGTTTCAGTTATGCAAACATTTCTCAGAGACAGAGCTGCTCTGGAGGCAGAAATAATTAAACCTCCATGGATGGAGCCAGAAAAAGTAGTTATTCAGAGTAAAAGTTAGCTAACTGGCAAACAGTTGGCAGAAGAAAACTTTTCTAAAAGCATACATTAAAAAATAAATCACGTTTTTTTTTTTTTTATTCATGACTGTAGAATTCAGAATATTGATTGCTACCATGATAAAGCACTGGCTTTCTGATGTGTGTTTCCATAACAACACCATCAAACAGTCTATGCTTGCCAATGAAAACTAACTTTATGGTTAATGACATGTGGAATATTTTGCATACTTATTATGCACTTTCTGTGTTGCCCTCTGGTCCAGGTGTCAAACCAGCCTGAATACAAAACCATCTGTAACCATGTTAACCATCTGTTGTTTAAAAAAACATGGGATCAGTCCACTCAGATTGATGACGGAGCCAGTACTATCCTTGGAGCTTTAAATTCCTATTTTATCCTGACTTTGCATTCATTGCTGCCAGCCTTTGGTTAGGTCATTATTATTCATGTAGTGGAAGCGAACACATGGCCGGAGCCACTGAAATACATTATATACTGAACTGTATGCATTTATGTTTTCTTTATACAAAGGCACCAATAGAGACAACTCAAGTTTTATTTACCGTTTCAGTCAATGCTGGATTTTGTCTTGCAGCAAAATGTTTTATTCATGCAGCTGGAGTGACTTCTGTTGTTCTGTAGTTTCTCTCCATCAGCTGAACTGTGTACTGTACCCTCGTCTTGGTTCACTGGTGGTGGAACTTCTCATCTACAACAGACCAGAGAGACTGTGGTTGAGTTGCAGTGACAATGATGTCAACAACACAGGGTCATGATGACTTGTTGGTTATGCCTGGATGGGTTAATATAATGCTAGTTGGTGCTTGAAAGTATTCACATGTGGGGGGTTGTAACAATTGTAACAATACAAACTAGGTTCAAGTAAGTGAGGGAATTTAAAATTAAAAAGTTTTTAGTGTTCTCTATTTTTGTTATTGTCTGTGTCTTAAAACTTTTTTCACTTCCCTATGTGGTGCTCATCTCCGACCCAACTGGTTACTATTAAAGACATACATCTGTAAATACAGGTCACATATATATACATATATACATAGTTTTAGATAGAACATGAATATTGACTTACTTAAACTTCTATCTCCTCTGATACTGACCTCAGTCAGCTCCCTCTATCATTCCTTATCCTTGGCAACATGTAGATCCCCGCTAGCTTTTCCATCACAGATCTGCAGCAAGTCATTTCTGGTCTTCCAGGTTTTCATTTGCCTGGATAAATCCATCACAGCAAAACCTTGAAACTGACCCAGACACTGCAGTGACCTCTGCCTTATTTCACAGATGATGTTCTTTCTTCTGGTTTCTCTGGCTTGGTTACATGTACATTCTGAACCATGTATTACTTTAAAATTAATGTTGCTGTTGATATAAAATTGATTTTAAGCTTGGACATTGCTCTTAGGCTACTCAGTGTAATGTTTTTAAATATACTAAAGGAACACAGTGGGTTGAACCATCTGTGAACTGAACTGCCTCTACACCCTGTGGAACTATCTGTTGTACCTACTTACTCCTTGAAATTGTATGCAAAGTATTTATATTTCATGTTCTATTATTACTGTCCATTTCTTGAACTCCCAGAAGCTTCAGCCTGCCTCCAACCTTCGAATAGCAAAAATCATATTTACATAGTAAAGGACTCTGCAGAAACAATTTGGAAGCCCTGCACCTCTTTCTTCCCATACTTAACTTGTTTGTTTTCATGTTTAAATCCAGCTTTTCATTTCCCCACTTTTCATTTAGCTATTGTCTTAAAGACAAAACAATTTCTTCGTCTTGCCTGCTGTCTCTAAGTCTTCTTTTCTTTCCCATCCTCTTCAATGGCTCTCTTTCATTCTCATGGTTTCTTTTCAATATCGCAAGCCAAGAAAGAGAATCATCACTGTTGTCTTCATTATAGTTGGAGGATTAAAATGAGGAGCCGCTGTTGGATGTCTCTGTTATGTGAGATAGACATGGGAAAGGAAAAGAAACAAGATAAAACTGCTGTAAATGAAGGTTTGTTCTACTTAAGACAACAACATTAGGGTGCTAAAAACATATTAAATGTATTAAATATTTCAAAGAGACAATATGCCTTGTTCTCCTGAAGAGCTTTTGCAGTCAGCAGTTTTTGCCCGTGCCTTAACCCAGCAGCTCTTTCTCTAATTTGACCCTGTTGCTCAGGTGAAGTCAAGTTACCATCATATCCTAATATGGTTTCAGTGTCTTCTCTTCTTCCTCCACTGTCCTGCCATTTCATCTTTATTGCCTCTCCATCTGAATTCACTCCTCCCTCCTCTTAGTCTCCCAGGATTTATAAGCCTCTTAGAACCATCATACTTCATGCTTCTTTCTTCTTAGCCATCAGTCTCCTGCTCATCTCCTTGATCATGTCCTTCCTTCACCTTCCTTTACCTTTCCACAACTTTGTCTTTGAATGTTAAGGTGGAGAACTTCTAAATGCAATAGAGATTCATCTGATGAAAGAGCTTTCTCTCTTTTTGTGTTCTCTGTAGGTGTGGATGTGTGGTGGTCGGATGGAGGACATCCCTTGCTCCAGGGTAGGACACATCTATAGGAAGTATGTCCCCTACAAGGTCCCTGGTGGGATTAGCTTGGCAAAGGTAATTCTTCACACTGTGTGCCTCTACGGTTCAGGATAAAATACAATACAGCAGATCAGTCACAGATTTTCTGTATGCTATAACAGTCTGATACAGGGCTTCAGTGTCAGCTGTTACAATCACTTCTCAGTCACAACACAACAATGGATTACATTATACTGTAAGGACAACTATTCAGTTTCATTGAAAGCAGTGGTAATCAAAGTATAATGGATCTGTATTGGCTAACACAAGGCTAAAACAAAAGGCACTCCTGTTGTCCACCACTCCTTTGAGCTTTACAAAAACAATGGTACCTACAGTATGTAATGCACAGCATAAAAAAATGAGTGCACCACAGATCAGAATGAACAAATAAACAGCAGCCAACTGAATGAATGATCAATGGTAGCAGTGTCAATTTGGATTCTCTTTTAGTAACACATGGAAAAACTCAATATTAACTTCAGTTTATTGTTCATTGGATCATTAGATGAAGACAGGCCACGTATATACCTGCTCAAAGGTCCACATTCTAACACTATATAATATAAAATATTACAGGAAACCATTAAACGAAAGATGAAATGCAGGCTATATTTGGATACATAAATTATGTATATTCTACAAAGGGATTCAATTTACACGAGTATCACGATTGCAGCCATAAAATAATGTTAAAAGCTAATCCTGCAGAGGTTGAGATATCCTGACTTTTATTATAAATAAAAATACTGGATCTACACTTTTACTACACTTCTGATAATGCAACTCAATATTGTCTTTTTTTGTTAGACAGTGCCTGCCTGCCTAAACACCCACACTGTTCAGTTATAATGCCAAAAGTTTGTAAAGTAGACCTGTTGTTAATGAAATTCCCTCAGCCCAAGCTGTGATGAAAACTTCCATGATATCATCAAGGGCTTTTTTGTCAGACTTGACTCCTCCAGAGCCACATAAAACATTACACAAAAGTATAGCAGCTACTGACCTGTGCCACTGTTTTATGTATGTAATATCACATTCGATTCAGTATTAGAATATAGTCAAATATTAAAATAAACTTCCATAACTTCCCTTAAGATTTAAGTTTGTCCTTCCTTTAATATTTTCCATCAAGTCTGAATGTTACAAGTCCATTGTCAGTTATTGTGTAGCTTTTAAATGGAACAGACGGCAAAGCTCATCCACGGCAACAATACATTTCCAATGTTTATAATAGACCATTTATATTCGTAGTTCCTCTTTATTGGCTTTCTGTGTTTTGTTCTTTGGTCTCTTTAAAAAGCTCTTATCAGTAAGGTTTATTAATTAAAAAAAACAATAAGTGAAGCAAAATCCAATTATGCTGTTACAAAATTACAACATGACATCTTATCAGCAAAACTGATTTTAACTTTATTATTAATCTGCAGTATTCACACAGAGGGATCTTCAGCATTTAAATGACAGTTACAAAAACACCATATTTGGCTTTATGCTGTGCTGAAATATGGCTTGATGTGAAACCAAATATATTTTAGTTCAGGAAATATGTAGCCATTGGAGTACAAAGAGTTTTTATCTTTTTCATGCAAATACTCTGAACTAAAGGAGTGAATTAACTTTTGTCTAATTAAGCTCAAGTACATAAATAAACACCGGCATAAACATACATGAACACTACACACATGCAGGCACACATACTGTACACTTGTACACACATTCAAGCACCTTCGGAGAGCTTTAAGTGGTCCAGTATTACAAATGGCAGCATTTTTGTTTCCTACATCCTCAGCTAAGTACTCTCCTCTTTCTCCTCCACGCAACATCACTTTGCAGTCAGCTCAGCATCCGCTAACAAAAGACCACCAGACGAGAGGCAGCAGTATGCAGTCTATCCACTATCTTCAACTCATAGCCTTTGCAGGTGTTACTGTGAAGAATGAGCTTAAGTTTCTTTGTTTCTTGTATTCTTCAAAGTACCTACACAGAATGAGAAATTGTCTAAAAACGCTAAATCATCTGGGGTGTAGCTGAACACCATTCATTATGTATGCCTCCGCAGCAGCCTGGAACTTGGCTCGGTTTGGCTCTGTGTGCAACTAAAAGGCACTGGCCTTTGTTTTGATTTTTTATTCTGACCAGCAGTCTTTAAACAAGACTTCAGTGGAATGCTGACGGTCCTGAATCGACCTGACCCTGCAGATAAAGAAGAACATTTACATAGACATACTTTGTTCTCGGCAAAAACTGCTGTGACCATTATCATGGTTATACCTTCTTGTATTCTTTTTTTCTTTTTTTGCAACAGTACTTACTTTAAATCCAAATGAAATTAAATGGCTGCAACAAAGTAGTCAAATGTTGTTGTTATAGTGGGTTATTCCAAGGCAAGGTAAATAAATGGATATTGTTGTTAGAGCAGACTTTCTGAGACCAATCTACGATACTAACAGCAAATTATGTAAACATTTATGTTCACAAAATTGTCTAATGTGGTTCTACAAAATCATCCTCACTACCAGGTACTGTGGGATTGTGTTTATTTGTGGGAGGCTCATAGACATTTCGAGATCCCTGTAAGAAAGAAGAAAAGTTGGTTTAGTGAATGCATATATGTACCTGACTCTCTTTTTGATTTGATTTCAGAACCTAAAACGTGTGGCAGAGGTGTGGATGGACGAATACGCCGAATACGTGTACCAGCGTCGGCCTGAGTACCGCCACCTGTCAGCAGGAGACATGACAGCCCAGAAGGAGCTGAGAAACCGCCTCAACTGCAAGAGCTTCAAATGGTTCATGAGCGAGGTGGCCTGGGATCTACCCAAACACTACCCACCAGTGGAGCCTCCTGCTGCAGCGTGGGGAGAGGTAAGGATTGGTTTCAGAAATGACTTTGATTGAAATCCCTCCCGCTGTCAGCATTAACATGTACATACTGTATATACATATAAACAAGTCTGATCATGAATTGATTTTTTAAAATAAAATAAAAATAAAAAAGTAAGAGGAATAACAATATCAAAGGAAGTGGGAAATTGATATGAATAAGAGACTGCTCCTTAGCTAAAAGCAAAGTTTAAACAGTGTTTTCATACAAAAACAGCAACAACAATTTCTTTGAAAATGTCAGCTGTTTCTACTTCCCCTTAGATTTTTTGGAAAACATTTTTGAATGCCTAAAAACTACTTCACAAACTCTGGTTCTCAGAACAACCCCAAAAAAGCACATCCACCATGACTATACTTTGTGATCTCATCAATAAAATATACTCAGAATAAAGTCATTGACACAAATATGAACCACTTCCTTTACTTGATGCCAAAATCAGCATGTTGTGTGTATATGGGTTATGCATTACAATTATATATAATTAATAACATTTATCAGAATTAACCTAAAGAGGCACCTCAAAGACAACATAAGAGTTGCCTAAAACAATAACATTAAACTCATTAGTGAATATTTCCAGAAAGTAGGCACTGAAGTTCAATTATCATTACAAAGCTTTGTAAATGAATACAGAGATGAACGTTATCAGAGATATCATCTATATAGTGAAATGTGTTATGTCTTTCTTACAAGAGTTGGGCTTTTCAAATTTACTGGTCCATCAAGGTGGGTAGAGGCATGACTCTAAAGCCGGACACTGGCAGGAGAGCAGTTCATCTACTGGTGATACAGCAGCATAGTTAAATTTATTGCTGTGTACAAGGATTGGATTGGGCTGTGAAGTGATTTGTATGTAGCACACACACTGCATGGCAAAATAAAGTATGCTGGATACAAAGGTGACCATTGCAAGGCATATATCATGTAAAATTCAACACATGACTTTTTACTTATTAAAAATAAAATACTAGTGAGAGTTTTCCAAGTTGAAAGC